TTCACTTTTAACATTTTTCCCCAGTGATTTCTTGGATTAATTTTGTTGTTTTTTTAGTGATTTTTCCACCTTACTTTCCCATTTTTCCCATTTTTTTTTATTAATATTCATTAGTATTTTATATTTATAGAGTATGTCAATTTTATTGATGTTATAGAAAACAGGTAATTCAAATCGTGCGCCTGTTTCCTATTATTATTATAAGGTTGAACAAAAAATTTATTTTTTTATACTTCGCTGTCCACGAATTTCTCTTTAGGGACACAGTTTACTTGTCATAATTTAGTAATACAAGGACAATTTCGATTTGTTGTCTTTTTTTTTCATCGTCACTTTCGATTTTTATACTTCATATAAATCACTTTTGATTTTTATTATTCATATAAATCGCTTGTGATTTTTATTATATATTCATTATAAATCGTAATAGAGATCTACAAAGCTGGGCCCACTTATAAATTTTTGGCAGAAGTTGTCCGACCCACCATATTCTTTATAATTTTATTTTAAATTACCCCGGTCCTTTATGACCCCGGCCTATTAAATTTTTTTTTTGTACGAGTTTTCCGGTATCTAGATCTATTTCTTTTTATATTTACCAATTTTGTTTGTAGTGCATTTGTAATTGTATCGTATCGTAACTGAAAATTCCGTGAATTGGACAGCGAAAATAGAGAAGGATTAAGCTGTTATTGTAATGAACATTAGCTTGATATTCGAGGGGTAATATATATGTTCGGAGTCAGTTAAAATTTCGGAAAATAGAATGATGGATTTATATGAATATACTAGTTTATATTTATAAGGCTCAGTTGTCACGCCTTTTTGGTTTTGAACGTCAATTAAATGACATGAATGTTGATTAAAATGGTCAGTCAAAGTGGTAAACCACAAAATAGCGCTATAGCTGACTCCTGTATATTCTTGATTGATGAACTGCCAATCTATTATTATATACAAATCATTAGAATAATCAGAGATTTGCGGGGCCTACCCAAAATTTTTATATATAAATTGTCAAGCCTTGTCCCAAAATCTTTTACGAATAAATAGCCCTGACAGGTGGCGCTCGTTATAATAATTTTTTAAAAAAAAATTCCCTTGGCCTGCTCACAGGCCTTCAGACGGGGCAGAACAGGGATCTGAACATCTTTATATCTTAGGAATACTTAGATAATTTTAAAAAAATACTGAGATGGTTCCTCTGGAGAAATAAACCATAGAAGATGTTATTTATTTGGAATTTATCTTTTAAATCGTTGAAACAATCAACATACATATTATTTTTCTATGTATTTCTGTTGATTGGTTTACATCTCTATAACTCTACTCTCAATGGTTATACACAGTTCCTTTATTGTCCTTGGGAAAGTGGGAATATTAATTTCCATGTGAATCACGGGATTATCCTAACATCCTCATCGACTTAATGGCTTATTGTGCAGAAGGAATAGTTACATTTTTTGTATAATATCCTGTATCTAAGATATTATATGTCATTGAGATACTCTCATTTTGTAAAAGATACAAATACCTTTTATATCTTTTTAATAAGATACTTATATCTGCCTGGGATAAAATTATGTTATGAAGAATCTGCTTATCAGGATGCTTTTTTTAAGGATATGCCCAATTTTGGTTAGCGGAATATATTTATGTATAATATTTTTTTTAAACAATTAATGCATCGTACACTTTTTACTAAAGATATAGAATAAAATTTCTAATGTAACTGGAGACGGAAAGTATGGGCTGCTTGACCCAAGTCTCGGATATTGGAGACCGTTTTCTCGGACTCGCTGTAAGAGGTAACCCTCCGAGACCCAACTCGAACATTAGATATTCGAAAGATGCCTAAATAATCAATTAGTTTCAACGAAATTTTAATCAGAATGACATGTTATTTATTTTTAATCTTACACATGTTATTCATTCATTTACGTAATTGACATTTCCCCAAATTAACGATTTCCTTGAATGTTCATTTTGACTGGTTAAAACTTCTATTACTTACATCATATTTATCTGGTTAAATAAAATTTATATTATATTCTACTTAGCCATCATATAGGTTGGAACAATTAATTTGTACTCTGGCTCGGACACTAGATTCTTTTGTGGGTCATAGAAACATCGGGGGAAAAAAAATAGTATTAATAATGGATTTCGTGTAAATTTCTATTGATTACTCAAACTGACTCCAAGTATTGAAGTTCGGAGCCAAAAAATTTCAACCTTGGAGTGCGAGTCAAAAATCGGCTGAGCCTTGATGGACCTGAAATTTCAGTGTATTTCCCGCTCAAAATTCGAATTTTAAGAAATATGTGCGCACATAGATTTATTATTGCATTTGAACTATTGCAAGAATAAGTATGGGTAGATATAACTTTGCCCTAATCATGTATGTCCTGGCTTATTTTCTAAATATGTAGTATATACTAGCCCAGTAGCACCGAACTACTTAGCTCGAATTTATTGTTATTCGACCCAAAATTTTGGCAAGTTTTTTTTCTTCCCTAGACCATACCCGCGTTATTTTTATTTTATTCGTATTTGTATCGAATTCGTAACTCGTTTTTAAAAGAACCGAGTTTGCAACTCGAATCGGTTTAAAAGATTTTATAAATATTTTTTTTAATAAATTTGCAATATCTGTATTTATGATAAGATTACCCCTAACCCTAATATAAATTTGCAATATCGGTATTTATAAGATTAACCCTAACCCTAATATGAATTTGCAATGTCCATTTTATGATAACCCCCCCCCCCCCTAACCTTATTTTATATAAGATGTAATTTTTTATTTACAGTTTAAAAAAATTGCAAAAATAATAGTCAAAGAGAGGTAAAGCGAACGCGTAGCGTTAAATAATTATTACAACAATAAAATAATTATAAAATTTTAAAATACTCAAAAAAAAATAATACTTTTGGTGCCAGCCAATTAATTTTTTCTTACAAAAATAGCCAAAAAAAAATGATATAACAAGTCTACAAAATTAAAGCTAATATAATTATTAATATGTTACAAATTTGAGCCGTAATCATAAAAAAATAGTCATAAAACAAAATTTAATGATACGCAATTTACTTTTTAAAATTAAACCGTGACCTTACCACATCGCAATAATTATAGATATTATATTGAGAACGATACACATATTTAGAAGACTATTTTATATGAAATCATTGACTATGAGGTTTTTTTTTTAAAGATTTTTATGTTGTATGTGCTTAATAACATGGAACTCCATTTTTACGTTCTTTTTTCTCAATCAAAACAACAAACTAACTCCTAGAAGGCAACTCTAGACCCAACCCACCCCCTGAACCCTTATTCTAATAGAAATGATTAATTCGAAAAATAGCGTCTTTCAATAATTATATACAAAAAAAAAATAAACAAAATTTCCGCTTACGCACCGCGTAAATAACAAAATAAATCGCCTTAAATTTCGCATTTATAAAATGGCTTATCACATGTTTAGGAGAAAGGTAAATATCTTTGGGGACAGGGTTAAAAATCAACATTGCATGTAATATAACTATAATTAATATTTAAATTAGGGACCGGGTATAAAATGAATTTTGGGTCTAGAACTTTCTGGAATGGGTGACTAATATTATTATGATTACAGATCGGTTATTTTACCTCCCAAGTATTAAAAGAATATAAATGCGAATGTCAAAAAGGGCTGATAACTCGGTAAAGGATTTAGAACTCGAAATTTAAACCGATCTGCATCGGGCCCAATTTTAAAAACCCGGCCCGAACCCAAATTTTTTTTAAAGAAATTTACCGGCCCGGTTCGAATTTATTCGAATATATAAATTCATTACTATAATTATACTCGAAATGAAAGTTATATGGCGTCTAGTTTTTATAAATAAAATCAAAATATTATTTTTTTTTTTTAGTAATTATTTTTAAATTTGAATTTAAAAAAAAAATTAATTAATTTTATAATTAAAGTTATATATTACAAAATTTGCAAACCCCAAATATCACTATAATTATGTCACATGATCTAAAAGAAGAAAGAAGAATAATAATAAAAAAAATGTTATCTATCTCTTATTAGAAATCAATGAAAAACGTCTATAAATGTCAATTATATATCAACGGATATGACAGTATAATCGCAGAATATATCACCATTCAATCACTTTCAAATATCTTATATAATTACGAAACCATATTATCTTAAAAAAAAATTTATACACCCAGGCAGAGGCTGCACCGAAAATATTTGAGATTTCAATAATATAATGTCTAGACCTTCGTTCCTTCTATGAGCAAGATCTACAGGTTTGCGTGAAGTTTTTCTGGATGAAATATTGAGTTAGCAGCCATTTAACAATACTACTTAGCATCACGTTCGCTGCAATGAACACCTTTTCATGAGATGAGGAGTGTTATAATTTTTAAATGGGTTTTTAATGCTTGGAAATTCTGAAAGCTTTCGCTTTTAAATATATATATCGTCGGTTTAGAATTGGAACGCTCTACTTGCGCAAAGGTTTAAAATGATGAAATCACATTAAAGTTTAAAATAGAATATAAGAAAAAATTATTGATCAATTTTGACAATAATTTTGGCAAAAATTAATATTTTATGATCTGGTTTTTATTTCTATGTATTTTGGGAATATAGTTATCATCCACTGCTAACCCAAAAATTTTTAAAATGTCGAGTAGAGCACTCCAATTCTAGACCGTCGCTATATTTACTCTAAGAAAATTTGGATAATTTATCATCCAACTCATCAGAAATTATCTACATAACAAAAAGGCGTTTTTTTTAAAAAAATCTTGGCAATGATTTTCTCCAAATATCATCCTATTTTAATCAGTATATTTCCTCAAAAAATTTATTATTCATAAATTCCGTTTGGCCTATAAAGTAATGATGAAGATATTTTCTTAATAAAATTCTCACTAATACCACTCAATAGACCAATAAAAAACAGCTGAAATATGTTTTAAAAACCCTGTTTTATATTTGTTTTTATTTAAATGGACATAAACAAAAATTAATAAAAATATGAAGGGGTAATGTAAAATATAAAGTTTTTTTAAAATGAAGATATTTTATCCCTTTACATAGTTTTAGATGTGCACATGGCCAAAAATACATTTAAAAAATCGATTTTTTTAAAATTTAAATCAAATTTAACAATTATAATAGTAAAAAATTTTTTTTATAAACTAGAATAAAATTAATATTTATATGTAAATGGTAAAATTAATTTATTTAAATAAGTGCAATGAGAAATAAATATACAAATTTTTCTTTAAATTTAAACGATAATAATTTAAATGATTTTTCATAGGAGTTTGTAATATTAAAAAAAAATTGATTTCAGGATTAGCTCACTATATAAAATTAAGTTATCATAAATTTTGCAATAAATTATAAGTTATATGCTAAATAATAGAAGAAAAAAATGATTTAAATCAATTTGAATAAATTATGCTAATCTAATATAAAAAAATGAATTATCAGTACCTTATAATGGTAGAGTTTTAATATTCAATGGTATATATAATATTAAAAGTTAAGGTTTTAACAACCTATGATTCATATAGAAAAATAATATTCTAAAAAAATATATTTAGATTTGTTTAATGTGAAATAGAAGTAGTTTTTTCTTGGGAAACAGTACTATCTGCTCTTTTCCTCATTTCCATATCTTCTTTGACTAACTTATGTAAATGGTACAGTTTCTCTTCGATTACTTTCATGATGTCTTTTAGATCATTTTGCAAGCCTATTAATTGAAAATACATTGTGATTCTATTAAATATAAAACTAGAAAAAGATAAAATATTTTACATTACCTCAATTAAAATAATATAACTTAAAAATATTTAAACTTTTAATATATTTTTTAAATCATTAAAATTTACTCAAAAGAAATTTATGATATTACTTAATTTATTTAAAACTCTTCTTGCTAACATCCTCTTCTAAAGATCTCATATTTTTAAGAACTTATTTAGATAAAGGTAATCATGAAAGTTGAATATATAATATTTAATTTTACATATGATTTGATTACGAAGTTTTCTTACTGAATATACATTTATATCAGATCTTGGGAAGCCTTCTGAATCAACAAGTGGTTCAGTCATGCCAATATCTTTATTCTAATTCAATAAAATTGTAAATAAGGTAATGTATGTACTGATTTTAATTCCTCCATTAATTTCTTAAGTTCCATTTCCATGCCATCTTTCTTCTTGATAATCTCTTTTAATTCATTTTGTGTATCATCCATTTGAGCAAAAAACAAAAATTACTAAGTAAATAAATGAATGAAACATATTTCAGCTGTTTATAATACTATTTAATATTATTTTCAAACCTAAATAATATAAAATAAATGAAAATATCGCAAATATAAATATTAGAGACAATCAATTAATATGAAGGTAAATAAGTTTAACATTATATAATACGTGAGTTGTACATAAACCAAATAAAAGGTGGGGACAGAGTACCCATTTTTACCCCATTGGTAGTTAGGGGACACTGATATAATAGTCGGAAGTGTTAAATACTGTTTTAATGGACTGGAAAAACATTCCTAATTAGGAAATAAAAATTTTTTATTCATAATCCTATAGCTTAATTTATATGCAAATCAATATTTTAAATGACGTTACGCCATAAATTATTTATTAAATATATAAATAATATTAACATCACTTTTTCATTTTAACTAAGCTATAGATAAAATTATTTTTCTTAACATATATTTTGCCACTTAGCCTCATAGACTAGAGGGTGAGGTAACACTTTCCTCCCTACAAATTTGGTCTCCAAATTTATTTCTAATGTCATAAAAAAGATCCAAAAAATATCAACTTCTTAGTTTTTCCCTAAATTTAATTTTTGGTTACAAGACTATGGCCATTAATAGGAATTTATAAGTCATTCAATTTTAACATATCGCTTTTATATAATCATATTTTTAGTCACAATAAATTTAAATATAATACACATAAATATTTTCAATAAACGTTTTATTAACTTGTTGGTATACGCAGAAACGAGTAATATAATTTTGTAAATATTACTTCAATCAGTTGTTAACACTGTAATAAAAATAAAAATATAAACTAAGCCATCCATGAAAAAATATTTTGTGTATGGCATGATGAGGCTATAAAAAATTTTTATTCATAATTTTATAGCTCAATTTATATGCAAATCAATATTTTAAATGGCGTCACGCCATAAATTAATTATTAAATATATTATTAACATCACTTTTTTCATTTTAACTAACCTAAGCCATAGATAAAATTATTTTTCTTAACATTTTTTTTGCCACTTAGCCTCGTAGACTAAAGGGAGGGGTAATACTTTCCTCCCCGCAAATTTGGTCTCCAAATTTATTTCTAATGCCATAAAAAAAGTTCCAAAAAATATCATCTTCTTAGCTGTTTCCCTAAATTCAATTTTTGGTTACAAGACTATGGCCATTAAGAGGAATTTATAAGTCATTCAATTTTAGCATATCGCTTTTATATAATCATATTTTTAGTCAAAATAAATTTAAATATAATACACTTAAATATTTTCAATAAACGTTTTATTAACTCATCGGTATACGCAGAAACGAGTTATATAATTTGTGTAAATATTATATCAATCAGCTGTTAACACTTAATAAAAATATAAACTAAGCCATCCATGAAAAAATATTTTGTGAATGGCATGAGGCTATCTTTGTACTTAATCCTAACTCCTCTGATCATAGATGTCGTAAATTGTGGATACTCTTTTGATCCTTATGAAAGAATAGGAGTATCCCATGATGCCTCCTTGAGGGAGATTAAGAAAGCATATAGAAAAAAAGCAATTGAATTGTAAATTCTCTCTTTTTCTACAAATAATTATGTAATATAACTTTTTAGCCATCCAGATAAAAATAAGGATTCCAAGTCACAAAATAGCATGCTTCAATTGAATGAGGCATATCAAGTATAATTTAAGAGTTTCCAATAAAATATTTTTTGTATATCAAGATACTCTCAAATGAAAATGAAAGAAGACTATATGATGAAAAGTACTTGTTAAAGGACAGGAAGATTATTTTTTCAGATTCTTCACAAGCCTCATACTTACATTCAATGTTTAAAAATTTTGATTATTACTATGATTTTCCCACAAACGGATTTTATGAGAGTATTAAAATAAATCAAAAGTATAATACAAATATATAATCTTATTTACTCCTTAAAAATTAGTTATTTTGAGAACAAAATTTTACAGAAAAGTCATAATTTACCCATTATTATTATTGTATACAGTAAAACATGCATAATATGTTACAATTATGAAAGTCAATTAGAACAATTGTCATATGTTTTGGAAAACACTGGTAGAATAAATTTATCATACACTATAAATCTACGAAGTAGCTGGGCCTGATCTTATTTTGGGCCATTTGAATTTTTTTTTTGCTCAAAATGCCTGGCTTGCTCATTACAATTTTATTTAACATTTCCTTAGCTCAACCTGGCCTGTAAAAATTTTACAAAATGTCTGCCCCAGACCATTTAAATTTTTTTTATACAAAATTTCCATTAATTTTTTTTCATGCCAAATAAGACACCTATATCTTTCCTCTATCTATTTCTACAATAACCTTTTATAAATTGTGTTTGATATCAGTTTTTGTAATTGAATCATATCATAAATAACTTGTTTGATTTTTTTTGTAAATTTAGAGTTTAACATTTGTTCAAAAATGAAAAATCTTGTAGTGTTGTTAAACGGCTCATTTTGAGCCGATTTTTAAAAATGGCTAACTTAATATTTTAGCCATAAAAATATTGCTTAAGACTTGAGATTTTGCTGATAGGTGTCCAAACATTTGATTCCTTCTACAAACAAAATCTTCAGGCTTGCGTAACATTATTCAGGATGATATATTGAGTTAGCCGTTTTTAAAAATAGGTGAGCCATTCAACAACACTAAAAGATTTAGATCTCTGCATATTTTTATTAAATTAAGATTTTTTTGAACACGCTCAAATGGAATTTCAAATTTTATCTAAAATTCCTAATATATTTTGCAAAAAATCTTTTAAAAATTAATCCTCTTTTTTTTTGATTTAATGCGTAAAAATCTATCATGATAAAATTACACATATTTTTTTAAAAAAAAATTTATTTTGATATTCTTTAAAAATATCATCAATTTTATGATCTTCAGGAAATTTTTTAATATTTTTTTTTCTGGTTAATTAACTATATTATGTACAGTGATATTTTAATTAAATATCTCTTAAGTTAAAATACAAAGAACTAAGTATTTTCAAAAACCAAAATTAGTTTTGTTAAACAGCTGACTCGTTTTTTAAAAAGGGTTTGCTCAATATTTAACCCAGAAAAATATTAGGGAATGTAGATTTTGTTCATAGATGGCACAAATGTCCTGACATCTATTAATAAAAATCTCGAAGATTAGGCAATATTTATCTGGAGAAAATATTGAGCTAACCTTTTAAAAAATTGGTAGCAACACTAACCAAAATCAAATAAATATTTTTTAAAATTTTAATGCCCATGCCAGTTTATTCCCTGCTAAACATTTTACTTATAATTCTCCAGCCTATCCCCCCCCCATTATAATTTTTAAAGCTTTGCAGATTGTACTAAAAACAAATTTCTATATATTTAGGCATACACGTATATACTGTTGATAATAATTATAAGAACTTTGAGCTTGTCAAAAAATTGAATGTAGGACGTGTTGGTCCATCATTTGTAGGTATTACTAATGGGAAAATCAAAGTGTTCAATTTCGGAAACTATGACACCTTCGAGGAATCAGAAATATCTTCTAACAATTACAAATATTCAGATCTGTTTCGACTATTTGGCAAAAAGGATGAAGGCAATCTCGATAAGGGTACTCTGTATAGAAATGAAATGCTCAGAAAATTGCTTTCTCCTGAATCATTCGGAGACAGCGATTACCGTCGATCTAATAAATTAACCATTGTCACTAAAACACTTTTGGCTCTAATTAGATTCGTAGGTAATAATTTGTTCTTATCGGAAATGAGCGGATATTCAGGTTCAGTTGACTCAGTCGATAATCTCGCTTACAGGGAATTGCATTATGTCTATAATTTTGAAAAAAATTATACCAATTCCGATTCATTCCTGCATTACGGACCATTTTTGAAGGACAACAAAATACGAATATTGATTGTGTCACCACAATACTATAAAATCGGTTCCTCTGGATCTCTCAAACGGGTCAATTTTGTCAAAGAAACTCCCGATCCTAATAAGAATGGTGACAATGACGATTACCACTCAAAATCTCAAACGCTTTTAGTGCTGAACCGGGCCCGGACTTTGAAATATTTGGCGCTAGCTTACAGGCTCCAGCATTGGGCGCGTATAATTTTTATCAACGTGTACTACCCTGCCAATGACTTCACCGGTCCGGTGCTCGAAAAAGGGAGTGGCGGGTTATTGAGTTCGCTCTTCGAACAATACGGTATAGGTTGCTTGCTCGGGGATCCAAGGTTTAAATCTAAAACCGAGGAGATATTCGTTACTCTGAACGAGCTTTCCCAGCTTTTACGACTCAGTGAAGCGGCTGATCGGGTTTGCAGTGAGAACCTTTATTACAAAAATTTTGCGAAGGGATTTGATCCTTTCTTCGCCTCGCATAGGAACCTCTATTTGCTATCGTATTCCTCGTGGGATTCCAAGGAGAAGAACTCTAATTACGTTGATTTCGTCTTGAGAAACGTGTTCAAAATCAGTTATCCTCGTGGGTCAATACCCTTTAAAATGGCTCCAAAAGTCAGAGATATTGTAAGCCTTCGGAATCAGCATTCCTTGCTGCAGGGTTTACCCAGGATAACTGACGAACTGATGTTCGCCGCTGCATGCCCTTCGGTTAAATATCACGAACTTCCAAAGACTCAGCATCAGCAAGGAATACCTACTCGTCTCCATACTCGTGCCAAAATGTGCTCTTTGCTGCTGATCGACGATCAGGATTTCAACAAACTTGTTCTTCTTCACTCTAATCCAGGCAAGATTAATTTAAACAATTCCGGTCCGTCGTACGCCCTGCTAAGCACCATGGACACACTCTCCAATTTAAATAGCCATTCAGTTAAAGAAAAATTGAATTACTCGATAGCCTACCTATCCCTGCAGAGGCAGGCCAAATTTCTTGATTCCCTGTTGAATTCCATAATGACAGATCAGAAAAGACAATATTTTATGACCTTCTTAGCTAACAAACTCAAATATGCTCATATTAAAACTTCTTTCGATTCCGATTCTGAGCCAAACAAAGAGCCCTCTAACCATAATAATAACAAAGTTGTATTCATGCCTATCCTTTCCCTCGTTCAACTCCCCTTAGGGGAAACCAGGTACAGATTAGATTTGATACCAATCCGCCACCCGTCTCTTCCGTCACTCCGCAAGGATTACGCCAGGGATCCAACCGTTGAACCCTTTTCCGGTTACGATATGCTCTTCGAAAACACGGCCTTCCCGGATGCCAGAGCATTCAATTACCTCAAAAATGCTATGCAAACCCAATGGAAATCCTTCACTAACACTCCAACCCCTCCCAGTTCGTCGGAGAAGAGGGACCACCATTTTTCCTCGTGGTATCACGATTTCTACCTTTTTTTTGCTTCCCTCTTGCGTCCCGAGTTATTCGGCGGCAGAATTTATCGGGAACTCTACTCCGGTAAACATTCGCGTCAGCTCCCCGTAGTCGATCGAAATTCGGAGGATCTCGAATCCGAAGAAGCGGAGGAAAGCGAGGACGGAAACGATAACAATTTCCTTTACAGGTATTTCATGAAGGCTCGTACCACCGCCGCGGATTCCGCCGAGGATGATACATTAGGTAATTTATAGACATTCATTATTTTATATTTCATAGTTTTTTTTTAGAGGATATATATATATATTTATAGATTATTTGATTCGAGTCATAAAGGACAAATTTAAAACTTTTGACCTAAAACCCGCCCGCTCACGAAAGACAATATTTTGACCGCGACCGTAACGCCCGAGAATTCGCGGCGTTTTTATAAATTTCTCGAAACTTTATTTACTTTTTATATTTTTCTCCGATCCCATATTTAATAACGCGAACCAATTACAATTGATAACGGCCATGTTTATTTATTTCCAATCATGTTCGACTTTCTGCAAGTGATTGGTTATAGAAAATAATCTTTCATTAGATGCCGAACCTGCTGAAACTGACAAATCTTTTTACTAGCTTCCAAAAAAACTACAAAATAATCTCACCGTTAATCGTTTTATGAGCGATGAATCTACTTTCATCTTTAGATGTTGATGCTTAATCAGAATCATCTAGAAATTTCTCTAAATGCTTCCTTTCTAATATACGGGAGTTTTTTTTTTATCTGTGTAAGGAGAATTGGGAAAGTTATAAAATGATAGTTGGCATTCACTTTATGCATGGCATCTAAATTTATATCATTTTAGATTAGAGGTTGCTGTAATATATATCTTCCATTTCATAGCTTCGCTTCATAAAGACTTACGACTTTTGAAATTTCGGATCTAGAATTAAGCCTTACCTTATGCAGTGGCTGCGTATTAAATCTTTCATTTATATATAAAAAAATGTCCTGTATTTTAAGGGTTTTAATTATTATCGTATCAAAATTTTACTAATTTTTTGCTTCCATTTATAAAATTCATTTATTGTTGAGATTTGAATCTGCGCTGAGATTACCCAAGAGCATTCTTTGAATGTCGATAAAATTGACCAAATTTTCATTGCTGAAGGAGAGTTGGGAGATTTATTATTTTTCATTCAATTGAAATTGTATAAGACGGGGGGGGGGGGGGGTGTAAGTAATGTTGTTTATAAAATGCGAAAGTTTTTTTAGAATTAAAATTTCCGTGATTCGCGGGAAATTTAAGTTCATTTCCGGCAGCCGAGTCTGAATTTTTTTTTAAAATAATACTCGAGCCGGGTCGGGCCGAATATTTTTAATCGCCTTTATAAAAAATCGAGCCGGGCCGGATTTTTTTAATCGCCATTATATTTTTAAAAATCCGGGCCGAGCCTTGCAAACGGTACCTCTGCAGGGTCTCTTGATACAAACGATTAGATTCTAAATATCCTGAAACAAAAAAAATGGTTAAAGAATTGAGAATTCTCGCATGCACAGTTCTAGGAAGAATTGTAAAGCAATATTGGAAATACTTATGTGGATGCTAAGCTAGGGGAAGTATAAACACTAGTTTAAAAAATATTTAAATTAATGGTTTATAAGAATGGGGGAAAATATCTTTAGAAGATCCAAATTTGGAAATATTTGATGTATTTTCCCCATTTTCAAGTTTATTTCCTGGGCAGCATCTATTAATATTATTTTCGATATTGCTAAGGAAGATATAAGCGAGATTCTTAAATTTTTAGCTATTCAGAACGGATGCTTTATTGCTTAGAATTTTGTACGATTCAAGGTTTATTTCTTTCTCGAATGCTTTTTAACTGAGTTTGAAGCCTGAATCTGGAACATTCAGAACTTCAGGTTTTTCAACACTGGCAATAATATGTATTTGTTTTTTTTTTCAAAATTGCTCCAAACCAGCTTCAAGCTAAACTTTGTTTTGTAAAGAAAGGTTTGTTAGAACTTTCTTCCAACAGATTCTTTAAACAGATCTTAGAAACTGTTCACGAATGCTTTACTGATCCGAAAAATATAATTATAATATTATAGAGAGGGTATGACTTCTTCCTTTCTTTCTTTCTTTCTTTCTTTCTTTCTTTCTTTCTTTCTTTCTTTCTTTCTTTCTTTCTTTCTTTCTTTCTTTCTTTCTTTCTTTCTTTCTTTCTTTCTTTCTTTCTTTCTTTCTTTCTTTCTTTCTTTCTTTCTTTCTTTCTTTCTTTCTTTCTTTCTTTCTTTCTTTCTTTCTTTCTTTCTTTCTTTCTTTCTTTCTTTCTTTCTTTCTTTCTTTCTTTCTTTCTTTCTTTCTTTCTTTCTTTCTTTCTATCTTTCTTTCTATCTTTCTTTCTTTCTTTCTACTATAGCTTTTAAAATTCCCTTCGATTGCGCGTTTAGCAATTTAGAGGATCCAACAATAATGAGAATGAGGGAAAAAATTGTTTTTTTTATATTATGTTGATATCAAAATAATTTTAATAATCAATAAATATAAAAGATATTTTTTATATAAAATTAAAAATTATATCTCCCAATAAAAATATCATAATTTTTTTTTTTTCGATCAATACAATTTCCCAAATAATATAAAACAGTTTTTTTTTTAAACATTTGTTTTTTTTGTCTTTATTTGATAATTTTTCCCAAACCAAAAATATTGATAAATGGGAAGATTGTCAGCCGTAATATTATTTTTAGCGGAAATTAATAAAATACCCGGGTAGAATATTTTAAGACCGAATAGTTTCGGGTCGAGTCTGAAAATTTTTTTTCGGTTAAAAATCCGGCCACAGATGGTAATGCAAGTCACCGGTTTTTATGTGCCATCTCATACTCACCTTGTCCTAGTCATATTCGATCATGAATTTCCGAGGTGATTCATTTATTATTTCGTATGTCATGGCAAACAACAGAATTTACTATCCTTATTTGATTGGCATACCAGCCTGCATCCGGCCTACGTCCAATATAGCTAATAATCTTTATTTAGTAATCCTCAGTAACCGGTTGCCCTACTTTGGGCCTGCCAGATGTAAATATTTAAAAATTGAAAATCGTTTTTACCGTATTGTGCTATTTACCGACGCCGGATGTATACTTGTCACGTGACGCGTTTAAATTTGACGCAGTTGTTTTTTTTTAGAGTCATAATTTATATTTAAAAAATAAATATGTTATATCAGATATTTAAAAAAAAAAAAATATATTGCTTACAAAATATAACATTTTAGCGTTGAATTCAAATAACATATTTTATATAAATGGTAAATCGCAAATTGGTAAAGCGTTTTGTTTAGCTTTAAAAAAAAACGCAAAATCCATATTCAAACAACTAGAAGCTATATCTCTAGAAAAACGCAGCGTTAATCTCTTCCGCCCGCGATGGACATTATATTTTTTTAAATGACTTTAAAGGAATAAATTCAACAATTTTATTGAAAACGGGTTAGGTGGAGTCGTTCTGAAACGACATTACGAAGCATGAATATTTATTATAAAACCGTTGATCTATAGGAGCCATTTTTTAGTCACGACCCTAGAGTTTGTATTTGCCCTCACCCACCCCACCACCCGATTTTGGCAGGTTGGTGGATAGATTCTCGGCTAGACCATTTTTTTCTTCTGAAATGTAGGATTGCTAAACGGCAACCCAAACCGTAAATATCGTTTAACCCCTCCCTGCCTCCCTCAAGTCATTTATATTTCATTGGAATCATATATATACCCGGAAGTAGAAATCGATCTAGCCGCTCTGTTTCCCGGTCTGAGCCTATCTACCTCCCGCCTCCAGGATTACGTAGTGGACGAATTCAAGCCTCACCTCGTAACGCGGGCTTACAAAAAGGCTAAAGCGTTCGTCTCCAAATCCACGCATCGCTTGATGAACAAAATCCACGGGGTCAGCGGTCGTCACAATAGCGAAAAGAATTTCGGGAAAGACGACGCCCTGACGGTTCTTTCGGTCATTTTTAGCTTCGTGTTCGTGCTGGGTGGCGGGTATTTCATGGCTTATTTAGTGTAAATCATTATTATTTTTATTTATAAATGATTCATTTTTCTAACCGGATATTTATGATCACGCAATTTCCGGTCGATTACTGGGACCGGTTTTCAGACCGAACCCGCGTTTCTTAAATTTGGTTTACAAAATTTCCAGAATTTTATTGTCCGCAATTTTTAATTTTTTTTTTAAAACAAAGAAATTTTCTTTAGTCGTCTGGGGGGACGCGTTTGAGAATTAGAAAGTTATAAATGAATCAAATCCGTCACGGTAAAATTATCGCCATCTTTTTGATTCACTAGGAATGTAGGAGTATTTATAGAAAATCGGCTAATGATTTTAAAGTTGGAATGAAAAAAAGATCATTTAGTGGTTTTATTTTACTCCTCGTGAAATATAAAAAAACATGAATTTTTCAAAAAATGATTTGTTTTTTATAATTAATAGTTTTTTTTTCCAAGTAATATATCTGTTTTTTCTTGTTAATAAATTATTATTTATTTTTTTATAAAACAAATTTCTCAGAATTTTTTCACGAATGTTTTATATTTTCATCTCTAAAGATATTTTAAGAATTTCCTCACCAGGGGAATTTTCCTAGAAATCGTCTTTAAAAATAATATTTTTTTAAAAAAATTTATTATTATTAATTTATTCCGAGATTTATTAGGCAGAAACTATATAAATGTTGGTAGAACAAAAAATATTATCTTTTATATTTGTTCACATTGGAAATATTTTATTTTAAAAATTTAATTTTATTTTAAAAAAAAAAATTTCAATAAACCACAAGTAAATTGGAGGAAGACAAGATAGCGGAAGAGAACAGGAATAATCCCGTCAAACTACCCAATAGGTAAATAAGTCATTTTTTTAAAATATTTTCTTATGGGCGCATGCTCAAATATATTGTCGATGCCATTTTTTTTCTTGTAGGCTTATAAAAAAAAATAATTCTAATTTTTTTTTACTCGAGGATTTTAAAGTTTATATAACGTGTGCTCATATAGAAGAAGGGAACCGGAGGCCCGGAACACGTCTCCCGGATCGCCCTCGATCTGGCCCGTATTTTAAGGGCCCAGCGGCGTTTTCTTATAATTTAACAAGCGCTTTGCAGTAGCATTCATAAAAGTAACGGCGCTACTTTTGTATCGCAAAAGATTACGAGTAACGCGTTACTTTTTTTTGAAGTAACTTTCACAGCTACTAAGATTTCTCCTATTTATTTTTTTATCATCAAACGTTTAAGAATAATAAATCAGGACATGATATTCCACGAGCTTAAACCGGGAACCTACAATGCTCTTGTCAGACTACTCAAACCCGGTTGCAGAACGATCCTCATATTCTTGGATGAACCAACCAAAGACAAATTACTCGACAAATTCTCTCACATCCTGCATCCTTATAGAAAGTTAGAATTTTTTTTTTGATCATAATATTGTGCTGCCTAATTTTTTTTCGGGCTCAAATCATGTCGGGCGGTTTTTTGACTCGACCGGGTTTTGATTTTGTTTTTTAATGACCAAACTCTTGTCAGGTCAGTTCGGGGATCTCTGATCTTTTTATAGAGTCAAAACCGGATATTTGAGAGGTTCTTGCACTGAAAGTTATTTATTTTTTTCGCACTTATCCGATTTTTGGCTAATTATAAGACTAAAATTATAATTATTATATTATAATAAAATAATCTAATTTGTGTTGTTATTTTAAAATAATATAATGATCTAGACATAAAATATATTAAATTTTGTTGTAATAATTATAATTATTTATTTAATAAGTACATTATTATAATATAATATTATTTTTTTTAAATGGTTGTAAAATGTTTGCAATTAATACCTGTTGTGAAAATATACCTATTATGATATAATTTAAATTTTTTGAACATTGTCGTTAATCATCTAATTCATGCGACTAAGTTCCTGTTGAATAAATCACAATTAATCAATGATGAATAAATCAGAATTAATCAACGATGAATAAATCACAATTAATCAATGATGAATAAATCAGAATTAATCAATGATGAATAAATCACAATTAATCAATGATGAATAAATCAAACGAGTTGATGGTAGATAATTCAAATATTTTTTTTTATTAATTCTAAAATTAAATATTGATCCGGCGTCATTATGTTCTTTATGTGCATGCATGCTGTTTTATATTGCTTCCTTTAATTGTATAAAATTAATTGATTGATTTGAAATTAATTTGTGATTGATGTTTGAATGGCATCGGGTCCAATAATTGTTTTTCTACAATTGACTACTAACCTTGATTTTTGGTTCTTCAAGTTTGTATGTGCATAACTGGATAAAGATGTGCCCATTCATAGCCAGGCTTTTGTTAGGTAAATAATCATGTTCAGCTATCTCTTCTAATAATATATGCGTTTATCACTTTTTTGGACCCTCATGGAAAATAAGATATATTCTATCTAAATACACCAATTTTTGGTTACAAATGTCATGACCATCTAATATGCCATGGCTACTGGCATTATCATCACGTGGTAATACCATAAGATTGAAACGTGAAATCTATTCCCCCCCCCCATCTCCATTACCAGATTTCTCATATTTCATCCTCTGATTCCCAATCAAAATGGCATTGTTTTGTCTGTCACAAAAAAAAATTTAACTTGTCGAACAAAACAATTTTACGAAACATTTCTAAAATCGGAATGTATACCAATAGTATTCCTAAATCTTTGTTTTGTGCAATATTCGTAACTAACTCTCATAATTCATGCAATTATCTTTTTTTTATATAATTTTTGTTGCATGTGCGCTATTATATATTTAAATACTTAAATAATTTATATTTAAAGTTCAGTGAAATTTATTTGTATATCTCAAGGCAACAAAATATATATATAAATTAATATATATTTTCATTTTTGTGATCACTTGTTTTTCTTTTTTAATATATAAAAATATATTGTAAATTACCATAATCGTTCCAATTTTAATCTTCAAGACTATAATTTCATATTGTGAATTCCTCCTTAACTTATATCAATACAATCACACATTTTATTTTATTTTATTCTATTTTTATATTATTCATTATGGTGGAGGATAGGGGCATGATGTAAAGATCGAGGTATTATTGAAGACGTTGGATCTAAAATTTTTTGCAGAGAATATTGTAGATGAAGCTACAAAAAAATATAAACTATTCGAAACATTGGATAAAGAAATGGCTGTGAGTATCATGGATAACATTGATAGTTTATCATATCAACAAATGAAATATTTAATACAAAAGAAAGTTGAAAAGAACAAGATCACGCGTATTTTGGAGTTGTTCAATACAAAACCGGACAGACTTGAGTCTTCCGGAGAGTATTTCGATAGACTGAAAGGGTATGGTTCGGGGCTCAATCCTGAATTTTTGTCAGTGCAATTTATGTTGAATTGTCGTAATGAAAAGCTAAAAACAAGGTTGATTGAAGAAAATACTACAGAGATTAGTATTATAGAGGACATTGTTGTCAAATTTCAATCGTTGGAAATTAATAATAATAAAACATATGTAGAGAAAGATTCTTGGAGAAGAGAGGATAGAACCGATTGGCAAATTCGTCTTGGAAAGAGAACAAGCAGACTTTTAAGGCCAACACCAACAACAACAATTACAACAACAACAGCAATTACAACAATTTCAAAAAGACGGAGATGATACAAGCCCCTTATAATTTAAGGCCAAGAAATAAAATTAATTTTATTAATGATATTATGATTGTCCTTCAAGTTAATAATTATGATTTTTCTTTTATGATAGATACTGGTTCTCCGGTGTCATCCTTGCCCATGATGCAAGAATTGTGCATTACACAATTTTTCTCTAATTTCGTAAAAACTAGTTTTTTTCATTGATTCCCCAACAAAAATTTATTACCCCTTTTTAAGTAAATCATATAAATTAGCTGCTAATTTAGAAAAGTCTCTTATAAATCTAGAATAATAATTCATAAGAACCAACCAAGAATGTATTCATCTTTATTCTTAGGTTCGGCCATTGTACTTATAGGATCAATTTTTTCTTTGATTGGTAGTATGCCTTTGTCACTTATTAAATAACCTAAATATTTTATACTCTCTTTGTAAAACTCACTTTTTTTTATATTTCCAATCAGCCCAAATTCCAACATTCTTTCAAACACTATTTTCAATTTATAAAAATGGTCTAACTTATCCTTACCAAAAATTAACAAATCATCTAAATAATAAATGACCCCCTTAATAACAGCAAATATTTCGTCCATAGTCTTCTGGAAATAAGCAGTTGATATTGTAAGCCCAAAAGGTAGTCTATTAAATTGAAAAAGACCCTTGTGTGTGGAGACGGTCAGAAATTTGGAAGTTTCTTTAGATACAGGAATCTGCAGATACGCCGATGAGAAATCTATTTTTGAAAAAAGCTTTCCATTACCTACTTTAGCAAATATGTCATGAATCCTTGGAAGCCGATATTCGAACCTTTCTAATAGTGAGTTTACAGTAACTCTAAAGTCAGCACAAACTCTCAACGTATTATCTTTTTTTTAACTAACACTAATGGAGTGGCCCATTGTGAAAATCTGACAGGCTTAATTACTCCCTTCTGGCGCCATTGCTCTATAGTGTTTTCTAATTCTTCTAAATCGAAGGGCACTCTCCTGGCCTTCACAAATTTTGGCTTAAAGTCATTTTTTAATAAAATGTCTATTTCTAAATTCTTGACTTTTCCAATTCTATCATTAAAAACACAGTCAAATTTCTTAATTAGCTTGTTGATGTCACAACTCTCTTCAAAATACCCTTTTTTTTTAGTAAATAACGATTGAATGACATAATTTTTTTTATAAAATTTATCAGTATCTTTGAAAGGATTGTTAAAAGTTAAAAAATTTACCCTATCTCCTATCTCATTCTTATTAATAGTGTTTACATCAACGTTGAATTTGATTATGTCAAATTCTTTAATCCAGTCTTGACCACATAGCGGTGGTTCCTCCCCATCCAATACATACAAATTTAAATATTTACTTGTATTCAAATATTTAACCTTAATATTCGAGACCTGACCAACGACTGTGATAGGAGAACCCTCATAAGAGAATAATTTTTTAGAACAATTTTCCAACTCAAATTCTTCATAATTCTCCAATTTTTCAAAATCTTTAATGGGCAAGGATGTCACCGGAGAACCCGTATCTATCAAAAAAGAAAAATTTAGATTATTAAGTTGCATATTAATCATAAAATCATTAATAAAATTTATCTTATTCCTTGGCCTCAAAATATATGACGTTTGTATCATTTCTTGTTTTTTGAAATTGTAGTTGTTGTTGGCCTTAAAAGTCTGCTTGTTCTCTTTCCAAGACGAATAGCCTTGCCAATCGGTTCTATCCTCTCTTCTCCAAGAATCTTTATCTACATATGTTTTATTATTATTAATCTCCAACGATTGAAATTTGACAACAATGTCCTCTATAATACTAATCTCTGTAGTATTTTCTTCAATCAACCTTGTTTTTAGCTTTTCATTACGACAATTCAACATAAATTGCACCGACAAAAATTCAGGATTGAGCCCCGAACCATACCCTTTCAGTCTATCGAAATACTCTCTGGAAGACTCAAGTCTGTCCGGTTTTGTATTGAACAACTCCAAAATACGCGTGATCTTGTTCTTTTCAACTTTCTTTTGTATTAAATCTTTCATTTGTTGATATGATAAACTATCAATGTTATCCATGATACTCACAGCCATCTCTTTATCCAATGTTTCGAATAGTTTATATTTTTTTGTAGCTTCATCTACAATATTCTCCGCAAAAAATTTTAGATCCAACGTCTTCAATAATACCTTGATCTTTACATCATGCCTCTATCCTCCACCATAATGAATAATATAAAAATAGAATAGAATAAAATGTGTGATTGTATTGAATAAGTTAAGGAGGAATTCACAATATGAAATTATAGTCTTGAAGATTAAAATTGGAACGATTATGGTAATTTACAATATATTTTTATATATTAAAAAAGAAAAGCAAGTGATCAAAAAAATGAAAATATATATTAATTTATATATATATTTTGTTGCCCTGAGATATACAAATAAATTTCACTGAACTTTAAATATAAATTATTTAAGTATTTAAATATATAATAGCGCACATGCAACAATTTTATAATTATAAACATTTCTTTTTCGAATTATTTAATTTAAATTTTATTTATATTTGTAAAAATGTTTTTTAAAATTTAACTTCCTTTTCCGTTGTAATTTTAAAATATGCAAAGGTATTCCTCTTTCATAATAAAATATATCGAATAAATGATGCGGGAAAACGTTTAAATCTTTGGTCACCTAGATATCCTAACTTTTCAAAAAAATGTGATTTTTTTTTTAAAAAATCCGATTTTTTTGTTTTTTAAAATAAATCAATGATTTAAATGCAAACTGTATTTTTTTTTCCTAAATAAATACGTTAATTTCATATGTATATTTTAAATTTAAAAAAAAAACCTCTCAACGCGGCTATTTTACTAGAACCGTCAGAATCCAAGTAAAGATATGTATATCACTCTAAAGTTCCGCATATTTTTTTTTAATCGATTGTTGGACCGCCTTTTATGAACGCGAATTATTGGGGGGTTTTTTAAAGCCATTTAGAATGATGGTGGTTCAATGACATTGGTTCGGCGTTCATTACAACTTAATGACACTGTCAGTACCTTTGGGTGAAATAATAAAATTCGAAGGATTTTTATTCCAAGCTAAACATATGAGCATCGAGTCAATTATTCTCTTATGGATCTTATTTAAGCAACACCATAATATTTGACTAATGTTCTATCTACTGACAATGTGGGCAGTAGCAACTCTAGCCTTTAACAATCTCAGGGGGCTCAAAAGACCTTGTTTTAGCTAACATTTTAAAATGACTTAGGTCTCTAGTGACGCTACTGATTATGGGACTAAAGAAGGCTAAGAGGGGTGCATTGCCAAGGAGGCTACAGCGGACCAAGCCCCTCCGCTAACTCTTTCACTTTTCCTCTCCAAATTTTGAGAAGGGGCTGAACGCTCCGCCAATACAATGTATATTCATCGATAATAATTTAAAATGGAGTTATTGATGACTTATTCTTATCTTTTCAATGATGGAGAATACATATTATCATGATAAGTTTTGGCACAATTTTTTTTTTCATCTAACTTTTCTCTTCCTTTTTATTTTATTTTTATCCTCAAGGAACGTAAGTCTGATGTTTGGGTTCGTTATGATTAGCAAATACATATCTTGGTACAGACGGTTACTGTTACAAGTAAATTTTGAAAATTAAAAATTCATTTTAATTATAAATAATCTAATAAATTAAATCAAAAAAATATTCTCGAAAATTCCCCAAATTTGGTAACCTCCATATTTTGATCATTAAGTCTGACCAATCGCTTTATGTTGAAGTGAACTGAAACACCCTCATTGAAGTGTAGATTTTTTTTCTAGATGATTCCAACCGTTTTAATCCACAAGGTAAAATCAATTACTGCTGGTGGTTTGATCTTATTTTTTTGGCCCAAGTTTTCTAATTATTTTTTAATCCTGCCCATCAAACATTCCTCACCAGTTGTTTTGGCGCGAAATAAATTTCCCTAATCATCACAGCTGTAAAATAATTTTTTTATGAAAACTTCGACATGGCCTCGTCAAAATATTTTGTACACCGCTGAGCCGCATCTTTACCTAATAACAATGACGTATAATAATTCTTAGACTGACGTTTCATTCATTAAAAGTGTACATCAAGACGAAAACAGCTGGGGACGCCATTTTGATTTCCCATAATCATCATTAAAATTTTTATACGAGAGGCCAATTTATTCCTATGCCTGGCGCTAAATTTTTTATAGATTTGCCTGATCATGGAGATAATAAGGAAGCAAGTTATCAATTTAATAGTAGTTCTTAAAATTACCAAAATGGCCGGTCCAGCTGATTCAGCGACGCCTTCTAACACATTATTATGAATGCGTCGTCAGTATAGGAAAAGGGAAATTTTTAGGAGATTTTTTTAACCAACTCCTTGGACATCAAAACCACAATCTCAAACATTTCTTAACGTTCCAGTCTCGTCATGTTTTTTTTTGTCCTCCAAAGCTGATTTAACATACCCCAAGACCGTTTTAGCAATGAGATCCTCACCAATTTTCAAATACAATATCCACTCCTCCCTAAGTAGATTATCCATCTTCCCATTCCTAGATATTAGTCAATCATTTAGTAATTTTTCCCCCCTTATAGGTCATAGGTAACAACAGGAAGTTGGTCATAAACCCAAAAAATTGTGTCGGAACGGTGCTCGTTGTCAATGGCTACCGAAAATATTACTGTATCTACCATGCGCGTCATTACGAGGCGTCTATCCCTTCTTCCAACGCAATATGGCGACCCCCGTGTCACCCGGCAGATTTGGCAGACGATGATAACGAGGATTTGGGTTAGTTACTAAAAAAAAATAAAATACTTGTTGATTTTTTTTCCCTTCAATTATATCATCTATATAACTATATTAAAACATGTTGCAGGTAAATGACTTACATTTCAAAGCCAATTATAACCTTATTTTTTTCCGACTTTAAAGCTTAGTTTGAATTTAAAAAGGGATTATTTTAGCTAGCCAGAACATATCTTTGGAATGTGACGGTGTTTAAATGGCATGCTGTCACCTTATCATCTACAGTTTCGTAATATGTTGAACCGTTATATATAAAAAAAATGATTAGGTTATAAAAAAACGATTTGCTGTCATAATTTTCTCGCTTCAAAAACTTTGGCGGCCATATTTAATTTGAAGAATCGATGTTTGAAACTGCGATTTATTTCAGGCGTTTATTCTTTAACCAATTATGCTAATCTCGAATGATTTTTATCAATATCATATATCAGAGGACCGTCAATAGCAAAATTTTCAGGTCCGCGCCCGTCTTGGACCAGTTTAATTATTTTTTTTACTGAGGTTACCCATCCTGGCCTGGTTTTTAAAAACATTTTTTTAAATACAAGACCTAAACCAAAATATCTGTTGTTGAACACCAACGGGGAGTGGTTAGATTAATTTAATAACACTACATCTTATTGATAATAACCTCTTTGAAATATCAGAATTCATCAAATATATATATACAAAAATTTTGGCCGCCATGGGCATTACAGATATATGTTATATAATATAGCTCTTTCAATAAATTTGGCTTTTCTTTTTTTCCGAAATTTCAAATATTTTATAATCTTCTTTTTTTTTACCTACAAATTATAATTTATATCATTTGGGTGGTTTGATAATTTTTTGTTGAGTAAATTAAATATTATTCATCCAACTAATTGTTACGTTAAAAGATATTAATGTTTGTTCATGTTTTTTTTTGCGTTACTGTAAAACTTCTATATAGTTATCAGTCAATGGGGACTCATTAGCTGGTCACCTAGAATTGTAATGTCAAAGGATCCAAGTAAAAGGGTCGCTATAGAGATGAAGAATACGAAGAGATGGTAACATATGGAGGTTTTTACTGTATGTGGGAACATTTAATAGCTGAATGCGAATGATGTTATTGTTTCACGTATTTTATTAACATCACGATTGTATTTTAATTTTTTTAAATATACACGGGCCGGGGCTGAAAATTTTTTTGCAGGTCTCTGGTATATATTGACAAGTTATAAATTCGAGTAATTCTTCCGTACTTTGCAAATACTTGATTTTAGGTATTGAAATACTTATTTGGATTCAATTTTGAAATTTCGAGAAAATCATCGAAAAAGGTTATTAGATCTAATATGAAAACTGTCAATTTGCGGATGGCGGTCATCGTACTGCAACAGCTGTTTTATAAAAATTGACTGACTTTGGTTTTTTACAAATTGGGTTATTTTAAATTGGCTATATTTTTACTAAAATAGTTGAATTATGTGGGGAAAAAAATATCGAAGATCTTTCAAAAGTAATCTTTATTTTTTATAGATGCTATCCTAAATACCAGAAGCAAAGTAATCAAGGTCAAGATTGGCCAAAGTAATTTGCTGGACCAAAATGATGATCAGGAAACCCATGAGAGTAATAACGGTGCGGTAAGGAGGAGCCACGAAGCTGCTGATAATTGCTTAAGCAAACAGATTAACAAGATTCATTTGACTCCGCCCCCTTCTTATTCCTCCCTTCACATCAACGACGCCAACCACTGCCCGGATTCTACGACCAATCGTAACGACGGGACGAACGAGGAAAGCGCTGATTGGGTGAAAGAGACCGCCAATCGGAACGGGGGTGATGAGGAAAGGTAATTTTTTTTAAAAAAAAATCGAAAATGAGCTATGAAAAGGGTGAAGTCGTAATTATCGATTTAAAACATACTTAACAGATTTGAAAAGATAATACTTTATATATTTTTTTCCCCCATTAAATAAAATAAATGCCATTTATTTCGAAGTCTTCAATCTCGAACGATTGCCAAAGAACCGCTTGTCAAAGTGACCAAGAAGCACCGATCACACTCTCGTCAACGATCTCGTAAATAAAATTATCTCCTTAATCATCTCACCCTTTCTTATCTTTCATCTTTTTTTAATGGTTTGCGAGTCCAAGCTTTCGCCTTCTCATTACCTTCATGAAAGAAAGAAGGAAAGAATGAAAGAAAAAAAAAGAAGTTTATTTTAATTGGGCCCTCTTATATATGCAAATAATCCTATATTCGAAATACAAAAACTAACATGTTCTAATATATAAATAATATTATTAAAGAACACGATTCCGGCAAAGTGGCAGAATCTCAACGCCATCATCATAATTCTCATTTCACTTCCGCTATGGTGGAAGAATTGCTGAGAGGCTTTCCCGATTGGCTAGACAAATTGTTCGAAGGAAACGTTCAGAGGTACTACATCGACTACTGGCCCCCTCTCAAGATATGAAGAATAATAATAATAATAAAAATTTATATTTGCCAACATTTTATTTTGTCCAATTTCCGGGAAATTTTTTTTATTATTTTTATACATCCGGTCACGTGTTCCTCTAAACTTGACATCCCCTAAAAACTTTAAAATCAGATGGGTGATCAACAAGTGACGCAACGCGTCTTACAAGTTTACGTGATCTAAGTATTAGAAATTTATCCACATTTTATTTTTATACGTACTCGTCTCTTAAAACAAATGAAACATTATTGCATTTTTCTTATTAAAAAAATTAAATAAATATAATAGTCAATTATTATCGCGAATCCAAATTGCTACGAAAAAAAAAGATAAAAAAAATAGTGCAATTTTTTGGCACAAAATGCAAAAATTTATATATTCTTTATTTTTTGTTTTTTTTTTCACTTCCTAAATTTATGCATTTACTCTCTTTCTTTTATTTTTTGTATGAATTAGTCAACCCCGTTTTGATTTGCCCCATACCACCCCCAAAATTAATCCGAATCTCGCCTTCCACCACATCTCTACTGAATTATCGTTTTATTATAACAAATTTTATACTAGTCTCCTAAAAATTAATATTGTTTTATTATATAAATTTTAATAATAAGAAATCACATCTATTTCACTTTATTTTTTTAGTGTTGTTTAAACGGCTCTTTTTGAGGCGATTAAAAAATATTGCTTAAGCCTAGATATTTCAATGTATGCCTAAAGACCCTTGTTCCTTCTATGAGCATAATTTATTTTTTGGAAGATATTGAGTTAGCCTTTTTTAAACATCGGCTCAAAACGAACCTTTTCACAACACTACTTTATTTTATAAAATTTTGATATTAAATTTTGTAAAAACATGGCTTTTTTTAAGGACTTGTTATTTTTTTTAAATTTATATTTAAATCGATTATTTATTATAAATTATGTTATGTGACTTTGTATACTTATGTGTTAGTAAAGTCTAAGTTTAATCATTTCGCATAATAATATACAATATATTTTTTTTTTAAATAATATTTATATTTAGTCGGGTTTAATATATATATATTTTTTTTTTACAATAATACGATAAAAAATGATAACTAATAAATGAATATATTTAAATTTAATTTTTTATACTGGGGGTATGGTAAATGGGTGACTATTGGTTCATTTATATTAAATATATAATATAGTATATTAAACACAACCCATATCTTTATATTTCTTTAACCCCAACCCTTCCCAAGAACAGGGTCATATTAAATCTATTGGCGGCACATTAACTCCGCCTCGTCACTCTCTCACAATTTACTACAGCTTTAAAAATGCATATATTCGCGAAATAGTCGCTTCATTTTTAAAATCGGTTTCATAAGTGGCTTAGAAGATTTATTCAATATTATATTATAGTAAAAAAAAATGTATGACTTAATTAAGAAAATTCTGTGTAAATTTAAGTAATATTTATACTAAAATGTTGGGAGCCGCATCACTAAACCTGTCAAATAGGTTGGCTTCAGATTAGACACATGAAGTCTTTTCCCAAGGATTGAGCCAACTATTAATTCTTATAGATTAATAGGATTCTAGGAATGAGTATTGTAAAAGGTTTTATAGATAGATTTAAAAAGCGAAGAGAGTTTTTGCCCCAATTAACTGTAATTTTATACAGAAGCTCTTAGGGTCTTTCCTTCTAAAAAAAAATTGCCACAAAGTTAATTACCCAAGAGCAGCTGAGACCGACTCGTTAAGATTCAGTTATAGAAGCTATTTTTATTCAGGTCCGGATTTTTAGGCATCTTTCGGAGTCAAAATTGTGAAAAGCATTCCTTTTTCTTCCTTTTTTTTAAATTAATTCTTGGTTTATTCGATATCTTTTAATTAAAAAAAAATTCGGGTTTGTGTCTCGGGAACCTCGCTTTAACTTTATTGGGTCTGGTTTTGTCACGTGAACCTTGCTTTGACATTATTAAGTCTGGTTTTGTCACGTGAACCTCGCTTTAACTTTATTAGGTCTGGTTTTGTCACGTGAACCTTGCTTTAACATTATTAAGTCTGGTTTTGTCACGTGAACCTTGCTTTAACATTATTAGGTCTGGTTTTGTCACGTGAACCTTGCTTTAGCTTTATTAATTCTTGTAATACCTTCCCAGACAAATAAGAAAGGTAGCTTACTTATCAACCCCTTTCGCGCCAAATAAATGTCACTTATATCGTGAGATGGCAATATAATTTATAATTCAAAGTCAGGCTGGTCCAAGTATTCAAGGACCGGACCATAAGAAACTTTTTTTGGCACCTAACCCCAATGTGGGTGGTGAATTCGAATTATATTTATTTACCATCTGTTAAATCACGTGATCAGTCATTTAATCTTGATTTCTAGTCTCATTTTTAATGGTTCCCATGAAACCATTTACGTGAATACGTTCAGTCAAAATCGTTTTAAATGATATATATATATAAATTAAAGAAATTAAAACCCAGAGCTGGGCCATAAAATGAAGGAGATTTGGAAAAGGAAATCCGACCAGGGATCTGACTTAAAATGAGAATTTATATCCAGACCGAAGAAACAACAAATCAAAATTTAATCATATTCACAGATCTTCGAGAAAGAATATTTTATCATTTTTTAAGTTTAAAGATAATTCGGTTATGAATATTAATGTTTCGTTATAAGTAAAAACATAACTTTAAAAATTTTTTTAATTAAATATGTTTGAGCTACTTTAATAGGTATCTCGTTAATGGAATTTAAAATGAGATTAAAAAATTTTAATCGTTTATGTTATTACACTTAGAATTTATAAATATGTAGTTTATAAAATAGAAAAATAATTATTTTTGAAAATTAATTAGTTTTTATAATAATAAATCAAAAATAAAAGTTTTATTTTGTATAAAAATTTAAAAGCATTTTTATATTTTTTTTTGTGCATGATATAAGCCTTACGTAAATCACCAACCATCACTTGGTACGTATTTACCTAGTTTATTTTCTTGCACTCTTATGAGATCGGTTGTTGAATATATACCTTTAAAAATATTAGGGCTGGAGATTTTCTTCTTTAAAGTCAGAACCGGGGACGTAGCCAAATCTCTCATCAAAGTAAAAAAAATAATAGTATAGCTCTCTTACCTATAATATTTTAAGAGCGATGATTAATTTTGCCATCTGTGTCATATTACCCCACAACCAGGGTAAAATGGGTATAGGCATCATGGTAAAGTGGTTAAAAATTAAATTTAACTTTTATTGAGCAAAATATTGCGATTTTGGACACAATCACTTTGCATTAAACTAATCAATTAAAATAACGGGTATGTAAAATTATTTATGAAAACGCTTGAAAGAGTGTAAAATTTAAGCAAATTTTTTTTTTTAAACTTATTTAAATGTGATTACATTGTGTCTAAAATTAAAAGAACTATGTTACATTCATTTTACCATCTTTTTTATTTGGTATATATATATATAATAAAATAATCTAATAGAGTATCATTAATATTTATTTTATAATCATTATCAATTTCTTCAAGCATAGCTAGCCGCACCCTACAATCATTTCCAATCCCGATAGTTATATAATTTCTTGTAATATTTAATGATTTTTTATCAATCATGATAATTAATATCTTATACCATGAAGAGGAAATTGTTTTGAACTGATATAAAATTGGTTGGGTAATAAAATAATAATATAGAAAAATTTTTGCTCAAAATATTATATTTATTATATAAATTACTATATATATCTGATATTTTTTTTGCACAGTGATTGATGTGTGAATTAAACTAATTACATTATGTAAGGAGAATCAAATCTGTCTATGAACCTGAGTAATATTTATCAAAATTTTTTTTTAAAGTTATTGTGTTAGGGTCTCGCTAATATTTTAATAGCTCTAAGTGCTACATATGGGTTAGGTTGTCAAGTTTGTTAATAATTTATTTTTTTGTTAATACAAAACATGATGAACCATTTCTGAAAACCCATGAATTTCACCAACAAAAAAGCGTCTCTCGCCAAAAAATATTTTCAAATCCTATTCAATTTAAAACGAGATTGATTTGCGTTTTCGTGTAAAATTAAATTAATTTTCTAAAATCGGAATTATATTTGAGGAACTCGGAAAAAAACAAAAAAAAACGATTGTCATAATATTAATTCTCAAAGAAGAGAGGGAGGGGTGCAGGGAGGGATAAGTTTAATACGCGGCGCGGTTGCAACTTCCTCCCAGAACAAGACGTATCCCTTGAGAGGCATAGCGTCTAGGAAGTGCATTGGCGTATCAGTTCATTAAAATTTATTTCTTCCTGGGAATTTCCTAAATTTTAGTTAAAATCATTTTTTTGGTCGCATTATTTTCAATTCAGAAAAAATAATATAAACATTTCTAAACCCCATCTCATTTTTCACTAAAAAATAAATATTATTTTTTTTTCAAAAAATAATTATTATTTTAATTTTTTTTTTATAAAAAGTTTAAAATAAAAAAATAGAAGAAAATATCAAAAATTAAATCAATGATTATTATCCCATATACCATAGCCGTAATAGTGATAGGCTGTATTCTCAATAGTATGGCCTTGGTGGCTTTCACTTTTCGGGGCAAGAATAGGGGATTCAGATCGAGTCATGCCAAATACAACCTTTACTTGGGGGCCTTATCTGTCTGGGACACCTGCACTCTGATCTTCAATTTCGCTGTTGGTGTCAGCAGAGCTTCCCTCCTCTCATTCAACGGCCTTTATACACGTTGGCCGGCGCTGTGTTCCTGTCACGGTGTCTTGGTAGAATTTTTTAACCTTCAATCGGCATGGACTATTGTCTCCTTTTCGGCTGAACGTCTATTAACCACGTACCTACCTTCCACCTTCACGCCCAGGAATCAAGAACCTAGGTTCATTATGATTACCGTATTTTTCTTCGCGACAAATTTATCCCTCTCCTGTTTGAAACTTTTAGTGAGCGGATTCGAAGGAAACAGTGTTTTTGGGTATGTTCCCTGCAAAAAATCTAATCTTATAGATCGCGCACTTATTAAACCGATTAATATGAGTGGCCATATTTATGGCCCACAATATAGTAACTGCACATCTAACCTTCCGAAGATCCCTCGAGTATCGCCAAGGAGTTTTCGCCTCAACGGTATCCTGTATATGCTGGTAGGGCTCAACACCTGGGTACCCGTGATGTGCATTTTAGCGTGTAACATATTGATAGTGCGGAAGATATGGACCAATCGCAACAAGGTTCATGTGCGTTCCGTTATGTCAACAACGACCAGCTCGACAACTAGAGTCACGTATGTCGGTCAATACAAAGATACTCTTGCCATACCTTGCCCTTCGAATTGTCTGCAAACAAACCCGAATATAAAACCATTGGCCGAAGCAAAATTATCTAGCGAAACAACCATGGTAGAGCTTGATAATTCCATTCATTCCATGCGCACAAGAGAAATGGGAAGCGGATCTGATAGGATCCTAAATTCAGTGAATCAGCCAGAACATTTTGTAAAACTGTTCGTTAACAGAGTTAAACAGCTCCTTGATAATGGCGGAGCGACCGTTAGAAATGCTAACTCTCATATTTCTAGTAAGGAGGCACGAGCCACCAAGCTTTTGCTGATGGTTTCGACGGTCCATCTAATATGCATAACTCCCATAGGCGTAGTTCAGACTTTGGAGCTGGTATTCAGGAATTCTACTTTGTTCAAGCAGTTTCCTCCTCAGATTCTCGCCAACACCAAAAGAGTGAGGATAGCCCTCTTCGCCCTCTACGAATTGGCCTTTGCCACGAATTTCATATGGTATCTAATCTTTCCTTCCAACAAATACTTCAGAAATTTCCCATATTTTTTGAAAAATATTTCATAAGGCAAAAACTGGTACACAGATAGAACAATATATATATAATCTACGAATTTTAAGATTATATTTTTGTATGGATATAAGAAAATGGGGGAAAAAAACCCCAAAAAATTGTTTCATTTTTTAAATTTCTATATCTTTTATTTTGTTTAATTTGTTTATGTATTTAAAATCTTTGGCAGTTATAATAATATTTCAAAAACATTAACTCCTCAATAAAAATCTATTTTTTCACACATTTTTTATAACTTATAAATAAATAGGGTTTTTTTTCTATTTTAAATGACCAATCAAAATTATATTTTTAAACTTCAATTTGCATGTATTATAAAAAAAAATTTTTTAAAAAGGAGATAGAAAATCGTGTTGATAAGACTTTTCTTTTAGTAATGCACCCGAAGACAAAAAAATTCTAGGGATCACACGAGCCCCTGTCTCATAAGATCCTAAAATCTACCCTTATTATAAAAAATTTATCATGGAAAAATTACTAAATGAACTTGGTATTTATTTTACTTTACCATCATAAGTAATACTGGTAAAGTTTAGAAAAATTCTGTTGGAGACAGTTAAGTAATGTGTATGGGAGAAAGCTGGTATCCTACTCTAGTTGCTGCCTTGCATCAATAATCTTACTAATATAGTATTCGCCTAAAATGGGTCTATTAAAAAGGATAAACAATCATTGGCTAACAAAATCAACCAATCATAATGAATAATCTCGGTTAATATTGAAAATTAAAATAATTTTAAAACCATTATCAGATCTACATCACCTATTATTTCCATAAACAAAATATATCAATTAAATTTGCATCTTTTTAAAAGATATATCTTGGGTAAAATTTTTAAAAAAGAGAACAAAATATACTCAATTAGTATAAATAATTTATAGCAATAAGTTATAAATAAAATAAGCTAAGAAAAGAAAAGAAAAGAAAAGAAAAGAAAAGAAAAGAAAAGAAAAGAAAGAAAGAAAGAAAGAATGCCAATAAACTCAAAGATAAAAACAATATACTATTTACCTTCTTTATTGAACAATCGCGTTTTTTGAAAAATTATCATAATCATTCATAATCCTAGGGTTAGGGTTAGAGTTAGGGTTAAGGTAGGGTTAAGCTTAACTTAATTTATAAGACATTATCTTCCGTTTCTTTTGTGATAATTATAAAAAGACCAACTTAACCCAAAGAATTTCTAGAAGAGTTCAATATTTCATTTCGAAAATCAGATGGCACGGTCAGATATTGTTGAAGAGATTCAATAAGGGAAATTGATAAAAAATACTTTAAAAAAAATATGACCATTCAGGAAGTCAAGAACCATAGATTTATTAGGATTTTACCCTACAATTTTTCTTTCGTGACAAATATATCCTTTTTCCTGTACTAGAACCCGATCTAGAGTTGTTAAATGCTTCCATCCAGAAAAATATTTCTCAAACCTCGAGATTCGTTGATAGATGTTCAAAACTTTTTGTCATCTATGAGTAACATTTTTAGAGCCTGGTTTATTTTTTTCTGGATAAAAATATTGAGTTAACCGTTAATAGAGAAGAGAGAGAGAAGAGAAGAGAAGAGAAGAGAAGAGAAGAGAAGAGAAGAGAAGAGAAGAGAAGAAGAAGAGAAGAGAAGAGAAGAGAAGAGAAGAAGAAGAGAAGAGAAGAGAAGAGAAGAGAAGAGTTTTGTAAGATTATAATCTTATTAATCAACAGTTTTGGATAAAAAAATATTAGCAGCTTCAAAGCTCATAAAATTTTTTTTTTAGCAAATTTAAGTTGTTGTTTTAGCAAATTGATCTATGCCAACAAAACACTAAATATCCCATTACCCATAAAGTATTATAAGCCCTAATATATATAATATGTTTTAAACTTGATCGAAAATTTAGAGATAAAAAAATATTTCCGAACAAATATTTCATAAAAATTTTAGCTCATTTTTTTTTTGTAAAAAATTTCATAATAAATTTCAGAGACCGGCAGGCCCAGCCTAAAACCCGGCCCAACCCGGCCCGGTTAAAACCCGGCCCGAACCGGCCCATGTATTTAATTTTTTTAAAAATAAAATATGATTCTGTTTGAAAGTGTGTGTGAAGAACAAATATTTTATCATGAACTGACGGATTTCCTCATGTAGTAAGTTACTAGTTTTAGTATTTAATACAAAATATTTAAACTCTTTTATATTTATATATTTTTTTTAAAAAAAACGAATATCATTAAATAAAAAATGATTATTTATAAGATGCATTTTTAAAGAAAATAGGGCTTAGTTTATTTATTTTAGCGTTATTTTTTTTCAAAAATCGATCTACTTTAGAGTAAACATAAATTTATTTTTTTTTAAACCTAGGGAATCTATTAAAAGTAATTCGTATCTCTTTTTAAATCTCAAATGTTCCCAAAAAAAATTGTTTTAATATAAATTCTTTAAAACAGTTTTAAAAAAAACATGTGAAAAAAACAACGGGGTGGGGATAATGAGAAATCTCGTTTTTATAACCTATACCATAGTCGTATAAGTGATAGGATGCCTTCTCAATGGTATTGCATTTGTTGCTTACACTTTCCGCTGCAAAAGAATGGGATTCCGGATTATTACCAGGACTCTCAAGAACAGTTATAAGCTGTATTTGGGGGCTTTATCAGTCTGGGACACGTGCATGCTAATATTTAATTTTGCTGTGGGAGCCGGTAGGGCTATCTTTCCGTTTTTTAATGACCATTTTATGCGTTCGCCGATACTATGTTCCTTTCACGGAGTTTTGATAGAGTTTTTCAATCTCCAATCGGCTTGGACTATCGTCTCCTTCTCGGCTGAACGACTTTTGAGCATCTATCTGCCTGTCAGATTCGCATCCAGAAATCCCGAATCTAGGTTCTTTGCGGTTACGATATTTTCCTTCTTCGGTAACCTTTCTTTCTCATGTTTAAAACTGTTGACAAAGGGCTTCGAAAGTAACAGTGTTTTTGGGTACGCTCCATGCATAAAGAGAAATCTTGTCACGAGTAGCAGAGATATGGCGCCAATAAACGTATCCAGCGTCATTCATAGCTTCAACTATGGTAACCATACAGATTCCGACCCCTCATATATTGCCAAATAATGAGTTTTACTTTGAAGGTTTATTATATGCTATAGTGCGTCTCAATACCTTGATACCTTTGATCTTCGTTTTAACGAGCAACATATTTATTCTAAAGAAGATACGGATCAATCATAACAAAGTTCATGCACTCATCTGTATCCCAAGAACGAACACTAGTATCTTGGAGTATAGAGATATCCCAGACAAATAAGTACGATCAAACCTGACCTTAAAAGTGAACAAACCAAATGTATCGAGTTTGAAGATCAAAATGGAGCCGAATAAAAGCAAACATGGCATTCGTTACAATCTCAATACAGAAGTGGTGGGAAAAGAGCCTAATAGAACTGAAAAAAATTTTGATAATTGCAGAATGTCCGCTAGAAATGCGACTCCCCGTTTTTCTAGCAAAGAGGCGCGAGCGCCTAAACTTCTGCTAATGGTCTCGACAGCCCATATGGTATTCATGACTCCGATCGGTGTCGCCCAAATTCTGGAGTTAGTGTGGACAAATTCAGCCTTATTCGAGCAAATAAAGCGTGCGCCTTACATTCTGGCCAATCTCAAGACGCTCAGAATAACCTTTTTCGCTCTGTACGAATTGGAGTTTGCCACTAATTTCATATGGTATCTCATTCTTTCTCTGAACAAATTCCTTACAAATTTTTATTTCATTTGAAACGATGATTTTCCAATAATTATGAATAAAATAAACGATTTTTTTACAAAATGTTGGGTGATTGACTAATAGAAAAGTAATTTTTTAAAATTATACCAGTCTATAATATAAAGATAAGCTCTTTCTAATTAACTTTCGCTATTGATAGATAACTAGATTTGAAAGTTTAATTTCATTTATTCCCTTTTTTAATATAATATACAAACACGAATTTTAAAAATAATCAATTTAATATTGGATAAATTTTATTTTCCGTATTGAAAATCTTCCTGGTATCTTTCATGATATCACCCTATCTTTTATATTCGAAGTCATTATGATTCTTTGCTTGATCATCTTCTTATCTAGAGATAGTCTGCATAATCCAACTAACCATTCCCTTCTCTATTCCTTTTACTCTTGGGTTTCCTCTGCTATCTTTATTGGTCAGTATCCTATATTTATACAACTTCTAACACAGCATATTAACCCCCTTTTCTTCAGAACCTAAAGGTCTCTGAACTTTTTCAATCTTTAACTAATTCTGTAACTACCGAATTAACATTCCTATCTTTATTAAATGGTCGATTTTATAAGATCCCCATCTCACAACCTAGGATCCTGTTCTGAATATTAGACTGAAGCTAATCTAGTTAGCATTTCCTTAATTAACCATCAGAATTCTTCAAACCAAAAATTAAATACCATATCAATTTCCTGCTTGTGAGTTACAACTTCCCCAAGATATCGAGATATCATTCAATACAAATAACATATATTATTTTCCCCAAATTCATTAAAAAACACCCAAAATGACTACAACGAAAATTTATCTCTGCGATAGACTCAGCTCTCATCAACCATTACCAATAATGAAGAAATGCCAAAAGCCTTACAATTCTAACATCCTCAATACTCCTAACCCATAACATGCATTCCTTCTTCAATCGATTCGATCTCTCGTTCCGTAGAAATAATATCTACGGCTCATCTAAAGGTACGCAGCAAGGACTTGGACCACGGAACAGAAGCCAAGCCGGTTAGGGCTACATCTAAAATCCTAAACTTTATAATTGAATACTTAGCTGATTATTGGCTCGTTCCTACAAATTAAATAACTCAAATATTTATAAAAATTCAGACTTTTCTTTGACATTTAAAAATTTCCTCCAATCTGGGTGGTTCTTCTATTGGCGGTTTTAATTTTTGTGATGATTTGACAAAATTTAATAGCTTAAAAAAAGGATCCTAAATATTT